ATTTATTATGTATTATGTATCGAATATTGTATTTTATAAAAATTCAAAGATAAAATTAATAATAGTAAAAATATTTTTTATTTAAGGCATACTTGATTTTTTTTTTATTAGCAGGGGGTCGCGTACCCAATAAATATTAAATTTATGGGTCGCCATTGCAAAAAGTTTGTGAGACACTGGTTTAGACGATATAATATTTTTCATAAATTCAAATAATACCTATTCATTAGGACATATTATTTTCTTTATACGCGTGGGTTGCATATATTTGTATTTTGCAGATCCCGTGTTAAAAAATAGCAAAAAAAAATAAATTAATAATATTTATTATATACAGCTACAGCAGGTGTCCGGTGATTTTGCCCACCGTGAATCAATAATATCGTATAATAATATTCAACACGTTTATTAGTATGTACAAGACCGAACGGCAAAAGGAAATCCGATCGGCCCCGCGTATACACGTTTAATAATAATTTACATTGAAACGACTCTCCCAAATTCGGACGATATATTTGCACCGTAAACGCGTGTCCAAGGTCGAAGTATAATATTATATAAAGGACGCGACGTGTGATGATGATGATGATGATAATAATAATAATTATTATTACTATTATTATACCCAATCACAATACAGATATAATAATGTATATTGTGTTCCCGTACGTCACCGCATCATTGTTGGTCATCGCACATCGGTACGCATTTCACGTCCGTCGATATTTTTTTTTTTTTATTAATTTTCTATTTTTTTTTGCCCTTAAGTAACTGACGTGTGAAAAACTCAAATCTCAAACAGTGGTTTGGTTTTCGAATTGGCCAATTGTACCTAGGTATATAAGTATAATAATATGTCAAGGGTCGATACAGACTTCCTAAACGTGGGGGGGGGGAGTAGATTTGTAATTAGTTAGGTACAAACAGCCAAAAAAATTAGCTCACATGAATCAGCCAAATCGGCCCAGTCATAACTTATCAGTTACTGAATACATTTTTCACACCATTTTTATAAATCTGTACCTGAGAGGCTAAAGGGTCCAAGTCCACTTTTATCAAAATTGAGGTTATGGTTTTTGTCTTATGTTAAATTTTGACGCGCGTCATTTTATCTATCTTCATTTTAGTCCAATAACGAATATTTACCGAGATATTGGGAAATAACAAAAAGAACTAAGTCCAAATATTTATTTTGATTTATGAATTATGATCTAAGTCCATGCTTAGCATGGAGATTAATAGAGTCCAAGTCCACTGTGTGATTGAGCAAAATGATCAAAACATTTCATTTAAATCGTAAAATAAACAATTATAGGTAAGTTATAATTAAAAGAAAAAAGGTGGGTAAGTGGATGTCGCTCTGCTGTACAGTAGGTTACAAGTGGGTCACTGCATAATTGATGCTATTAAATTTGAATTCAATGATACAATATCATTGTATAAGAAAAACGATTCTGAGCGAAGACGGTATGTCAGTCTAGGTTAAGACAAATTATATACATATCTATGGTATTAAAAAAAATTGACCTATAATAAATTCCAAATAAATCATATCACATTATCACAATATCCATTAGGTACTTATAACACGTTATACACCAACAACAAACCCTGATACTATCATATATATAATAGTACACTTTAGAAGTTTCAAGTAGGTACCCACGAATAATATTATATAATCACAACAAAATAACTAGGTTTTTTAATATGTAATTTCGTCCAAATTTGAACATAAAATGACTATAAAAATAAACTGTGATTGTATATTTTTTAGATTTTTCGGTAAGAGAATTAACTACTTACGTGGAATCTTGTTTTAAATTTTCAATCCTTAGCTATAAAAACTGAACATTTTATAATTTATTAATTACGATGATTAATAATTTTCGAGATTTTGAAAAATTCTGTCAAAATTCGATGTTAAAATGCTTATAAAAAAAAATTGTGCCTATGTATTTTTAATATTTTTCAACTGATATTGTAACAATATATCAGGAGCCTTGTATTAAATTTTTACGCTTTTTGGAACAACAGATAAAACTTAATTGATATTTATAGAAAAAAAAAACTAAAAAAATTGAAAACTGAAAATGTCCGTAAACGGCTCAAAAAGAGTCAAAATATTTTCAAAATTTTATGGTGTATAGGAAATGCTAATATAAACATTCAGTGAAATTTTCATGTATCTACAGTAATTCGTTTTTTAATTACAACAAAAAAAGGAAATTGCCACATGAGAAATCGAGTGAATATCCAATGCTGTAAAAATTTGAATTTCAAACGCTCATAAAAATTTAATTTGACTTTCCGGTAGAGATTTTTTTATTGATAAAGGTAGACAATCTTATGAGTAATCTTGTATTAGATTTTAAAATCTTAGATTTAAAAAGAAAAATTTTTACGAATTCTTAACTCAAAATAATTTGCTAATTTTCGTGATTTTTCCATATTTTGTCAATTTTTGAACTTTAAATGCTTATAAAAAAAAATTGTGACTAAGGATTTTTAATATTTTTCATCTGCCTTTGAAACAATATATTAGGAGCTTTCTATTAAATTTTCAAGCTTTCGCAACCAACAAATAAAATTTTATTGATATTTCTAGAAAAAAAACTAAAAAAAAACTAAAAATGAAAATGTCCCTAAACTGTTCAAAATAAATCAAAATATTTTGAAAATGTTATCGTGTATAGAAGATGCAAATATAAACAACCAGTGAAAATTGCATGTACCTACGGTCATTTGTTTTAAAGTTACACCAAAAACCAAATTCAATTTTCTGAAAAATCGATTTTGCGTAAAAATTCCCGTTTTTCCTTAATTTTTCTTTTGTTTTTCCCGGCGCTCTTGAAAACTACTGGGAAATTTAAATTTTGACCTCCCCAATGCACCAACGATATTCACTTTCCAATCGAACAAGATACTGAAGTCGAAAATCGAAGCATTATTTCGACTACTTATCGTGTACACAGACACAAAAAAAATAAATAAAAAAATAAAAAAATAAAAAAAATAAAAATAAAAAAAAAAACACACATCATTGTAAAATCAATACATTCATCGTTTCACTCAGAATCTAAAATATTCATCTTATTGAGAATATTACAGCTTATTATTTAAAACAAACCTTGTTGGTATAATCATTAAACTGAATTTACACCAGCCATTTAAGTAAAATAAAAATAGTTGAAAAACGGTTTTTTGGCTCTCTTGAAAAGTTACAATAATGGACTTAGACTCTTTAGCCTCTCAGGTACAGAAATATATAGGTAGGTATGAGTATTTTTTTCTGTCCAAGAATTTTGAGAAATCGTGTATGTATATCGATATGGATATTAAAATCTTCAAGACTCGGCAAATTTGCGGAATTGTTCTCCACCGCGTCAAAGGCCGTTTAGAATATTTTTTCCGGGGCCTCAATAAATTGTAATAGCTGCACCGACGTTGGCGTGTTAAGGTTGTTTAAAACGATTATAAATGTATTATTCTTATCGACACTTCCCATAAACGTGGACTCACAAGTCATTAGGTCGACGCGAACAAGACGTTTTATAAAATATATAATCAGGTCAATTTATTTTTAGTCGATATACACACAATGGATGTTCACTCGATTTCTCATGTAGCGATTTCCTTATTTTGTTGTTATTCATAAACGAATAACTATAGATACATGAAAATTTCACTGAATGTTTATATTAGCATTTCCTATACACCATACAATTTTGAAAATATTTTGACTCTTTTTGAGCTGTTTACCGATATTTTCATTTTTCAATTTTTTTAGTTTTTTTTTCTATGAATATCAATAAAGTTTTATCTGTTGGGCCAAAAAGTGTAAAAAAATAATACAAGGCTCCTGATATATTGTTACAATAGCAATTGAAAAATATTAAAAATACATAAGCACAATTTTTTTTTATAAGCATTTAAAGATCGCATTTTGACAAAATTTATCAAAATCTCGAAAATTATCAACCATCGTAAATAATAAATTATAAAATGTTCAGTTTTTATAGCTAAGGATTGAAAATTTAAAAAAAAGATTCTCATAAATAGTTCATACTGTAGCCAAAAAACCTAAAAAATATATGAGCACAGTTTTTTTTTACAGACATTTTAAGTTCAAATTTTGGGACGAAATTTCATATTAAAAAACCTAGCATACCTATTTTAGTTATTTTGTTGTGAGTGTATAATATTATTCGTGGGTACTTGAAACTTCTTAAGTATACTACTATATTATATCTATGATAGTATCAGGGTTTGTTTGATGTATAACGTGTTATAAGTACCTAATGGATATTGTGATATGATTAATTTGGAATTAATTATAGGTCAATTTTTTTTTTAATACCATAGATATGTATATAATATGTCTTAAACCTAGACTGACATACCGTCTTCGCTCAGAATCGTTTTTCTTATACAATGATATTGTATCATTGAATTCAAATTTAATAGCATTCATTATAAGGTGACCCACTTGTAACCTACTGTACAGCAGAGCGACATCCACTTACCCACCTTTTTTTTTTTATATTAAATTTTTAGAAATTTGGGGAATGATATCAAAAATGTGGGAAAGTCGATTTCAAGTAGACTTGACGACCAATATACAAATAGGTTTTCAGTATTCTTATCGCCTCATTAGATAAATTGGCTTGTTTTGCAAAAAATAGAAAATCACGGTATCGAATCCTGTCAATGATATGATGTGTTTGTTTTCCTCGTCAATTTATCGGGCCATCCGAACGCCGGGCTGCTGTGTATTATTTGTAATCACAACTTGACCGTGGGGTGAGTTCATCTGATAACAGAAAAATCAAAAGTCCATCCCAAGTATGCTCCGTCGTTTAAATAGGTATTGCACAGCCAGCAGTGATACAGATAATAATTACAATTCACCGTGAGTTCTCGTTGATATCACATAATTATTTTAATATTTCATCCGTTCGACTTCGACAACTACGTACAACAAACGATAATATAATACTATGGTTGCCTGCAAAGTGATTTTGGCCGTCGCCGTCGTGTTCATGGTTGTAGCTGTTGTTCAAGTGAGCTTAATAATATTATATTATTTTAATAGTATAATAATATCATCGTAATATAATATAATACTATACCCACAACGTGACAGCTATTATAATGTGCTTTAGGTGCATTGTTATTGTTTCGTTTTCTCATCTTAAGGGGCCTCAGTACAACAGCCTTTTCTGTCCAAAACTACTGTTTCTAATTCCAACGATACGTGTCGACAATTATCACGATTTTCATTCTGAAAAAATATTCGGATTGTCCGTAATATATACTAAGCCACTAAGGAACGATTGAGCAAAGTCTTTAATTTTTGTAATTTAAATAATTGCAATAAATATTGTAAAAAATTCAGAATTTCAAACTTAAATATATTTTAACTAGCTCAATAAAATTATAAAAATGTGCCTCGATCGATCCCTTGTATACATGTTGTGGAAAAAAAGAATATTTTGTAAATAAATATTTGGTAATCGTTGCGACGTGTTGTTGGAGTGAAAAATAAACATTTTTTCATGATCACAACATTATACTTACTGGCATGTGCGTGCAAGAGCCCTCCGTACTGCTACAATTGACCATATGGATAATATAAGAATGGATAGGACAGAAGAACTTATCACTAGACAATTTAGTGATACGTTTTTAATGTTATATGGGGCAAATATTGATATGAGAATTGATAAATGATAATAAATAAAATCAATGATTAATATAAGTATAATAATTAACGATCCATATTATTGTATATTCTAATTACAATTAATTATGTAAGCAAAGTTTGGAGCGATTTGAGCATTCCGATTTCCAGACACAACAATCAAAATACAAATTTGAAATCGACAAATATTGTAAACAGTTTTTGGACATAACCTTTAAAAAAACCCCATATCGTCTTTCTCTCTTCCCCCCAAAAAAGCACACGGCCCCATATGAAACTGGTATAGGCATGCCCTATATCCATTCTTGTATAATAACCTATATGCAATTGACGCCATGTACACACTAATAATCATTTACGACTAACACATAGATCTAGGGTGGTGACGACTAGATTAGAAATTTCCTAAGTGATTCTCCTTAAATCAATGCCATAGCGAGGCCCCTCAAACAATTTCTGCGTCAATTATACAAGTCACGTTGTATGCGACGTCAGAGATGATTGTTCATATTATTTTATACGTTTCTAATAAAAAATTCAAACGAAATCCAAAATAACCAACGATTGTGTCGACTTAGATCCAGGGTAGACCCAGCGACATAACGGTACATGATATGAAGATCACCGATGAAGCATGGGACAATACATTTTCAAAAAGCATGGCCAGCATAGTGCCTAGGGCCGAAAATGCAGTTCTTAGTAATTCGGTATGGTGAACCTCGAACTATTTTTATTAAACTTGTAATTGTGTTGTTTACGTTATAATACGGCACTAAACATTTTGAAGCTTATGTTCTAAACTATAATACTTTTTTTTACACGCAGATGCATGAGAAAACTAAAACCTGGAAGTCCGATCAGTTCGAGGAGTCCGCCAAGATAGAATATGTTTAGAATAAACAGTCGTCGATGATCAAGAACTTGACTATAAATAATGAATCTGTTTTTGTGTAAAAGTAACAAAAACAAAATAAAAAACTTAAACATTTATTATTCCTCCTCGTTTTAATTTTGAATTATGTGTATGTATTGTAGTCAAAATAGTCAAGTCTTAACGTACCTCCACACCAATCGTTCTGATTAGTTCCCCAAATGAGCATATTATACGCATTATATTATTTAAGAAAATAATATTTAAATAAATTGGGATGTAGTGATTTTTCAGCCATACTTATAATTAGTGTTTGAAGTATGAGAAATATTAAACAAAAACGTGAAACATTGAATTTTTTTTTAACACAAATAAAAACACAATTTATTTATTTTTTTAACACAATGTTCAGTGTTCTAAATTCTAATGACAGAATTCAATAAGTATACAATATACATGTATAATATTGTATACCTACTTGTATCATTTAAACATTAAAATATTTAAAAATTTTGAATACCAATTCAAATGTATAATACCAAAGGTTAGGTATACGTCATACAGGTACCATATAGTGATGAAGGTAATTGATGACAATTATATGTAAATATAAAACAAAATATATTAAAATACTGAATTATTTCACATATTTTGAAATATTTCATCAAATATTTCACCTTTTTTTAAATTTCATGAAATTTTCAAACACTACTTATAATATACACGTCACAATCATTGAATTGATATGAACGGAAAGTGGGCAACTAAAATAATGATTATACCGTATATACTGAATTTGAAATATTTCACTTCAAATTTTTCAATTGAAATATTTCAATGACATTAAGAGAAATAATTGTTCTTCTTTTAAATGGGTTTCGGTGATAGATGATTATTGGTTATAAACAGGGCTCGGGACTTAAAGCACTTAAAATCATTAAAATAAGCGCTTAAATAAGCACTTAAAAACATCATTATAAGCATTTAAAAAACTTAAATTTAAGCAAAAATATTTATAAAAAAAAAAAACAATAAAATAAAAATAAAAATTTATCTTTATATTATAGAAAAAATTAAACTTCATTTTCAGGACGAGGATTTTATGGATTTTCTGAAAAATAAAATGTAAACAATATTTACAAATAGTTGAAAAAAAATAATTTTTTAATAAATTTTAATAAATTTTTTTATTTAAATTATTTTTAATTTTAATTCTATCAAAAACAACTTTGCAGTAGAAAACCATAAAAAAGTATGAAAACTGGTCAAAAAAGCAATAATTATCATAAAAACTTGAAATAAGCATTTTTTTGAAAAATCACTGAAAAAAGCAAAAAAAAGCACTCTCAAATTTTATAATTGAATGTGTTGTAACATGACATACACTTCTATAGTACTCTGCTACATTTTAAGCCAATCTAAAAATAATAAGCAAATGCTTATGTCCCGAGCCCTGGTTATAAATGATATATCAATTATACACTTAGAAATAAAGAAGAACATATTATTTTTGTCGATTTATTATTTCAGATTTGTATATTCCATATATTATTTATTTTAGTGCTAATAAATATTCCTGGCATTATTTTAAGAATAAAAACATTTTTTGTATGAGTTTTAAAACAAGGTAGTACCTACTATAAAAGTTCGTCATCGTTTCGAGCTTAAGTCATTATGTTTCAGATCAAAGTCACAACGTGGTGCGAAAGATGATAATAGTATTATACTGTAAAATGTGTGTTTTGTGCCGGATTAGAAATAAGAAAACTGTATTTTTGGTTTATTTCTGTTCAAACATTTTGCAGAATCGTGCGGTATGTTTGTCAATGGATATTAAAACCTCCAAAGGCCGTTCAGAATATTTTTGCTAGGGTCTCAATAAATTGTAACAGCTGCATAATTTAAGCCACCAAACATGGTGGATATGGTTATACGACTCTAACTTCTATGGAAATACTGTATGAACTATAAAAACTAGTCTATAGTTTAGTTTTGGGTTGGAAAAAAACTGAGTACGCTAGCCTTGTGCAAACAAATTAACTTTTTTTAACTTAATAAAAAGTTAACAAAAAGTGTGCATTAACTTTTAACTTAACTGAGTCAACCTATGGTTTAATTGACTTTTAACTTTTTGTTGTTGATGCATATTAATAATCTTAACTTAACTGAACCGAGTTAAAAAAAAAAAAACCATTAACTTTCCCAGCCTTGGTTATACTTACCTAAATTATTATATGTGTATTTTTTCATTTTTGAAAAAAATATTTTTTTTTATTTAAAAATTTGCTGAATCGTTCTTCACCTTGTCAAAGGCCGTTCAGAAATTTTTTCCTGGAGCCTCAATAAATTGTAATAGCTGCATAATTTAAGCTCATGGTGGATATGGTTATAAGAATCTAATCTTATATGAAAATACTGTATGAACTATAAAAACTAGTCTATAGTTTAGTTTTGGGTTGGAAAAAAACTGAGTACGCTAGCCTTATGCAAACAAATTAACTTTTTTTTAACTTAATAAAAAGTTAACAAAAAGTGTGCATTAACTTTCAACTTAACTGAGTTAACCTATAGTTTAATTGACTTTTAACTTTTTGTTGTTGATGCATATTAATAATATTAACTTAACTGAACTGAGTTAAAAAAACCATTAACTTTCCCAGCCTTGGTTATACTATTATATTATTATATATTGTGAATTTTTTCATTTTTGAATAAAAATATATTTTTTTTTTTATTTAAAAATTTGCTGAATCGTTCTCCACCTTGTCAAAGGCCGTTCAGAACATTTTCTCTGGAGCCTCAATAAATTGTAATAGCTGCACCACATTTTAAGCTATCAAACATATGGTTATACTCATATATTATTATACGATATTATATTATGACGGTCGACGGAATGAGGAGGATATTGAACGGACGTATATTATATGATATATAATATATACATATATTATATAATATTATCTTTTGTTTTAAACAATCCATACCAAAGTTAATTAACCGATCGGTCTGTTGTCGGAAAAGAAAAATGGTTGAGCTCATAGCGTCTGTTTATTTCCCGCCGCGCGCCATGTGCACTACATTAGTGCGGTGTATTATACTGCACACTACACCCGTACTACGGTATCTGGTTACCGCTCAACCAATTTCCTGTTACTGTAAGTCCACAACACCATACCGGATGATCAGCTCGGCAACGGCCGTGATCGAATTCAGGAAATGGCCTCCGCTGATGGTCGGACGAAAAACGATCCGTTCCGTTTTAAGTGTAAAACACAATAATATTATCGTCACCGCCACTTTCACTCGATCGAAACACGACGATCGATTAATTATGTTTTATTATCGTTGGAAAATCGTCTAAGAAATTCGTCGCCAACCTCTGTCGGGCATAGCGGCGTATCCAGAATTTTTTTTTCGGGGGGGGGGGAGTTAAAAATATTGTAACATATTAAATTGTTTTGAATTTTGTGTGTTTTTATTATAATCAACAATAATACATTAAATATTTTATTACTTTTTTACAACGCTGACAATAAAAGTTGAAATATTTAATATTTATCTTTTTTTTTGAAAACTATAAATGTAATATTCTATTTTCTTTTGATTTTTTAGCAAGCTCATCTATAACATCATTGATATCCACTTTAATATCGCGATGAATATTTACAGTGAGGCTAAACCAATTAAACGTATTTGTCCAGAAGAATTTCTCAAATAATAACGGAGTGTTGAAAATGATCGTTCTCCAGTAGCAATAGACACTGGAAGTGTTATGAATGTTTGAAGAAGTCTAGATATTATTGAATAAACATCTAGAGAGGTTTGAAAGTAGATATACTTCAATGGAATTTTTGTTCTGTATACCTTTTGTTCGTTACCTGACTCGGGTATACGGGATGTAACAGAAATACCATAAATATTTTTGTTTTATGGGCGAGATGACTTTATTGACTGTCCTTAATATTCTGTTTTTCATACTTCTGCTTGTAATAATAGGTCTGATAATACAATTTGTCTCAAATTCTCAACACAGAAGTAACTATATAGTTATGCAAATAATACCCCCCACGAAATAATATTAAGAAAACAATCATAACGATCTAAAAATCGATTTATTCATTTCGCCAAGCTTTGACTCGTTTAGACTTATTATAATTTTATACTTATTGTTGATTTATAACTACGTGGTAATATTAATTTAAAAAAAAAAAATTAAAATAATTAAATAATATATCTTACGATTATGAATTACCCACCCACTAGTAGAAATTATAGTAAATAAAATTATGATAATTAAAAATATACTCAAAAAGAGATAAAATAATTTTATATTTTATACTCTGCATACAACATAAAATATTTTATAATAAATATTATTAATGTTAGTAATTGAATTATAGTATATAGTAATAAACTTTGTTTATAGAATACTTCATGGCTAGGTTAGGTTAGGTTATAATAATTTACATACAAAAAGTAATGATATAACACCAAGAACATATGCAAAATGAGAGCCAAGTTCAATACTATAATATATGCCTTGGTTGTTGACTTCAACGACAAAAGAAGTGACATCTAAATGGGTTCCAAGTTAGGATGCTAACTTAGGATAATATATCGAAGCCTAAGGTCTGAAATTATATTATAGCCTTCGCAACTTCTAAAGCTTTGAGTTCTGATTTTATTCTTCCGAAAATTATCTTCACTCTTCCATTACTGTTTTAGTAGGTATACTTAATAATAATTCGTATATGAAAACTAACCAAGTCAGACCTTAGGCTTCAATATATTATCCTAAGTCGGCATCCTAACTTGGCACCCATTTAGATCTCACTTCTTTTGTCGTTGAAGTCAACAACCAAGGCATATATGATAGTAATGAACTTGGCTCTCATTTTACATATAATATGTTTTTGTGGGATATCTACTACAAAATTATTTATTAAACATTGTATTTCTTTCAGAGTTGGTGTATTTTTTCAGTTTTGAAAAAAATAAAACAATAGGTATTTTTTCTTTT